GGGGACCCATCACTGACCTGTCAGTGTGCATGCAGCTGGCAGTGTGCTGCTGCCTGTAGCAGCTCTACAGAAGAATGTTTTCCTGGCATATCCACTTTACAAAGAGGATAGTCTGAGGCTGGCAGTGCTAGCTGCACTTTACAGAATCTTTAGGGCTGGAAGAGACCTCTGGAGATCACCCAGTCCAACCCCTCTCCCAGGCAGGGCCACCTAGAGCAGGTTACACAGGAACGTGTCCAAGTAGGTTTTGAATATCTCCAGAGAGGGAGATTCCACAACACCCTTGGGCAGCCTGTTCAGTGCTCTGCCACCTTCAGCATACAGAAGTTCTTCTTTATGTTGAGGTGAAACTTTCTGTGTTTTAGTTTATGGCCTTTGGTCCTAATCCTGCTGCTGGGCACCACTGAAACAGTCTGGCACCATCCTCCTGGTACCTGCCTTTGAGGTATTTATGTGCATTCATGATATCCCCCTCAATCTCCTCTAGACTAAACAGGCACATCTCCCGCATCTCTCCTCATAATAGGTGCTCTAGATTTCACTGCAGCCGGCCCATTCTGTTCAAATATCTGCTGTGCCGCTGGAAAAGGTGCCATATTCAGAACGGGGTTGCCTCAAGCACCCGCCACACAGGAACCAACCTCTTGCAAATCAGCAATTTACAGTCCATCCCCTTTTCCCATTTTTGTGTATTCATAGTGCAGGACCAGAGGGGCAGGTGGTTTATGGGATGAAAGGGAAAATCATGCTTCCATTGAATCCCATAAAGGCCATGCAGATTGATGGGGCTGGGGCCATCTTTTATTCCTTCTGTTTCCCTGCCTCTGGCATTTCTGGGGCTGTAACGATACTGGGTGTGGGTGAGCAGACAGGTTACTGCTCCAATGTCTTTCTATTTTCTGTTCCTATGAGAAAACGGATGTTGGAGAGACTTGCTGTAGAATCTGCCTTGAAAGACTTACCTCTGAGATGCCAGGCCCTGCTCGGTGTTAAGTGAAATTGTCTGCAGCTCATTAACATCAAAGCATTTTCTTCGCTGGTCTGGGCAGCTCAGTAGTAACCAGCATACAAACCAGTGAACAGCTACACTCTCCACCAAGCTTTGCCTGCAAACAATTAACATCAAAGGGGAGCCACTGTGAAACAGGGGAAAAACAATGCTTCTGCTGCAGCAAGTCTCATGGCAGGTGGGGAAGTGGGGGAAGGCTGAAGCTCTGTCCCACCTAGAGAGTTTGTGCAAAGACTTTGCAGGAGGGAGCAGAGGGATAGCTACTGGGGCTTGCTGATGGTGTTGGCCAAGGGAATGGTAGATCCACTTTGGTTTCAACAAAACTGTCCCATTGTGTTGATGGCAGCATGGTGCAAGCTCTGGTGTATCAGACCAGCCCAGCCTAATTCTGGGATCAAGTCAGCTCTGCTGTCATTTCGGTATGTTTGTGATTGCTTACTTAGCTGCTGCTCTTGATGGGTTTCCTGAGGCCAGTCCCTCTGTTTTTTACACCCTTCTTCTTGTTCCGTCTGAATACAAAAGTTTTGGATAGTGATTCCAGATGTTACTGCCTCTTTTAAACGGACCTTGACCTTCTGTTTGCCCTTCCTCACAGAAGGCCTGTGGAATTAAAATGTTTTTTAGATGGCAGGTACATTCACTTCCTCTAGCTCTCAAGCACTTTCTCCTGCTTTTTATGTACTGGACCCTCTGGTTCATGCTTTCCTCATCTTCTTCCTCTTTGCTTTGGCAATGTGTGTAAGAAATCCAGGTTATTATATTTATCATGCTAACAGTCTGTGATTAGCCCTGGGGACCAGCAGGGGTTGGAAAATGAATTAATTCTCATATATATCCAGTTAGAGATGAGAAGCTTTTTGTGAAGTGCTGCATTAGCACAGAATAGAAACTTGGGGCTATCTCAAAGACTTCACTATCTAAACATCAGTATAGGAACAGAGGAGTGCAAAAAAAAGAGAACAACAGAACTGGAGCTCTCATTAATAAGTGCTGGGGGTCAAGATTGAAGATAGTATAACCACAGTGTGATGTGCCAGCCAGCACATGCTTCCTGCTAGCTCTGCTTTGGGAGTGCTAACCTCCAGCCACAGGGCAGATGATAGGAGCTGCAGGGTGCAACCAGAAAAGGTAAAGCTATCAAGGTTCATAAGTCAAAGTTGTAGGATGTGACTTTCAGGCAAGGTACTTTCTCCAGAAGGCAGATGTGCTTTGTGGAAAAGAAAAGCATACCTAATTCTGTTCATGCTTGCTCAAGAAAAAAGTATGTTCAAAACCAATCAGCTGAAGGACTGCTAATACCATCTGGGCAATAGTTAAACTGCCACAGAAGAAGGAACTATGGGAATTTATCTTATCCACCCTAGAAGAAGGAGGGACGCAGGGAGGCTGTGCACAGGATTGGGTTAGGGGAAGGCAGGGGAGAAAAGATGCTTCAAGGGGCACTTCAGCACTGCCTGAGTGTGAATGGGGTGGGGGGCAGAGTCACTGCTGTGTTAGGAGCAGGTCTGCAGCCACTAGGGAAGTCTGGGGGGAAGCTTCCTGAAGGTAGTTAGCAGTAGCAAGAAACCTCCTCTGAATTGGAGACTGATAAATTTAAGACCAGCATAGAATGACCCAGTTCTCCATCACAGCAGGGATGCAAACTGACTGCAGAAGAAACAAGGGGATAGTAACAGCGTGATGGCCAATATCTCTGTTGCCTGCAAGCTCACCACCACCAAATTTATTCTTTGGGCATCAGAGCAAGACAAGAATCTTGCAAGGAAGAATTTGCAGGAAGGCTCTCATGAAGACCACAGTGGGCAGGCACTAGTCCTGGTGTATCTGGACTGTTAAGTTGCAAGGTCAGCAACCACTAGCCACTCCAACAGCTTGTCCACCTGATGTTGTAGCTACCATGCAGACCGCAGACAGAAGTTCCCTGCGGAGCCTAGAGCATTCAAGCAGCAATCCTTTTGTTCCGGTCATCTACCTCTCAGGGAAGAAGTACTGCTTCTGTGGTTAGTACAGTGCCTAACAAACTTTTGAACTGATTCTAGCAGGAGGCGTGCCTTTGAGTGGAAAGAAGACACCCTGCTGCCAACACAGGGATTCTGGAAATGGAGACACATAGACTCTAGTGGCTTATCACACTGAAAAAGGAGTGGAAAGAAGAGCAGTACATCACCAGCAATTGGAGCGAGGTGCAGCTAAGGGGATCATTCCTGAGAAGAGGTTCCCAAAGGGCTTTCTCGCTGTTTGTAGCAGAGATATTCCACATAGGTCATGTTTTGTGTCTTTACACCATTAATGGCTTTTAAATCAGGACTGGAATTCCCTGGTCAGTAAACCTGTCTGCTCCACTCATGAAAACAAGCTTCACATTGCCCTCTTCTCAGGGAAGCTGCATGTTTAAATGGGCTTTTGCTTCTTGCTACTCTTGTTGCTGTCTGCTCTGGGAAGTTCTACCTCCTACAGTTAAAAACCTTCCTCTGACTTTCCCCATGATGGCATTAACAGCCATTAATAACCTGTCCTTCTGCTTCCAGTTGGCTTTAGATAGCTCTGTCCCTTCCTTGGAATTCACACCCCCTGGGACTTCTCCAGTACACATGCAGAGCAAGCACACCTCCGTTTACTTTCCTTTTGATGGACTAGCCAAACTGAGCTGACTTGGTCTCCTTTTGTGGGATGGGCTCATTGCTCTTGACCTCCATGCACAACGAGCGAGCTGTGTGCCTTTTGGAGTTCCCTTTGAATAGGACAGCTGGCTTACTGCAGCTGCAGCTGCAACTGCACCTGAATGGTGGCTTAAACACTCCTCTATCTCCACAGGAAACATCTTATCTGGGACATCCTACTACCACATCTGCACACTGCTAGCTCTGACCTCTCTGCCTTTCAAATGCCCTAATAGCATGTGTCTTGGCAAGATGACGGTAATGGCTCCGGTGGTTAGGGGTGGGGAGTGAAGGTCATGGCTCCCGGGCTTTACTCTGGCCTCGTGGCAGGGTTTGGGTTAAGACATTTCACCTCACCAAGCTCATCCCTTGAGCTTGCAGAAAGCTGGTGCCAATGTTTTCCTCCATTGCACACCTTTCCCTGCCTATCCATGTGCTCACGGCCCTTTCCCTGCCTATCCATGTGCTCACGGGTTGCCACCAGAAATGGTGTTATTGCATCAACCCCCTTACATTGTCTGAGCTCCCCAGAGGGAGGTCTTTGTGGTGCAGGGGTGAAAATGAACACCACTAAAACACAGGAGATGGAGGTGTCAGGGAGCTGTCACTGTGGGATCAGTATTGGGAGGCCTCTTGGCCATTGCAGCTAAATGTCCTTCCTTTTCACCATGGCCACCAATAGACCTGGTGCTTTTAACCACACTGTCGAGTGGATGAGGAGATTTAAACTCTTCCTGACAGAAAACTATGTGTTCCCCTCAGGAGTGGAATGTCTCCTCAGAGAACAGTGACTCTTCTGGGATGGGATGTTCCCCGAGGGGACAGTGATCCCTCAGAGGTGGGATGTCCTCTCAGGGGAGAGGGATCTCTCAGGACGTGTGATGTTCCCTGAGGGACCATCTTTCAGGAGCAGGATGTCTTCCCAGGAGACAAGGATCCCTCAGGAGGGACGGGATGTTCCCTGAGGGGCGGGGACGGCTCAGGGGCGGGACATCCCCTCAGGCACCCACCTTCTCTTACGGGCGGGATGTCTCTCAGGGGCGGTGACCCCCGAGGGCACGGCAGGGCAGCCAGGCGGCGGGGGCGGCAGCGCCCCCAAGCGGGCGGGCGCGGCGCTGCCTCGCGTGCGGGCAGGCAGCGGGCGGGGCGGTGGGTCTGGGGCCTGTGTGGCGCAGGCGCGGCTGGAAGGGGCGGGGCGGGGCGGGGCGTGCCGCGGGCCGGCGGCGCCTGCGTGGCGCGGCGCGGCGAGGCGGGCGCTGAGGGCGGGTGGGCGTGGCGCGGCGCGGCGCGCGGCCCTTCCTTCCCGTCCCTGCCCCCCCCGGCCGTGCCCGCCGCCGCCCCCACCCCCGCCCGCCGCCCAGAAGATGGCGAGCCCGTGCGGGCGGCAGCAGTGCTCCATCGAGAGGCGCGGCGTCCGCCACCAGCTCGATTCGTGGCGACACAAGCTCATTCACTGTGTAGGTGAGGGACGGCGGCGCGGCGGGGAGGCCGGGCCGGGCCCGCGGCGGTGGCGGCCGCCGGGAGAAGGCTCCACCGTGGGTTCGGATGGGGGGGGGGGGGGGGGGGTGGCCGTGAGGCGAGCGGCGCCGCGGCCTGCGGGCCCGCCCCCCTTCCCCCCGCCGCCGTGAGACGAGCGGCGCCGGGCCCGGCCCCGCCCTTCGCCGGGGAGGGAGCCGGGAGTGGGGGGGTCCTGCCCTGCCCTTTTGTGCGGCCCCTGTCAGCGCCGCGCCCGCTCCTCCCGGCACGGCCCGGCCGCGGCCCCTTCAAACTTGTTTACGCCGGGGCCGCGCCCGCCGGCGGGGAGCGGCCCGACTGTCACTGCCCATCCGCCGCTGCGGGAGGCGAGCCCGGCCCGGCTCACCTGCCCCCCGGCCCGCCGCCGTGAGGCGAGGCGGCGGCGAGGGAGGAAGAGGAGGGAGGGATGCCGCGGAGCCGGCGGCGCGCCCGGCCTGTGCCCCGACGGGAGGAGAAAGCGGGGGGAGGCTCGAGGAGGGATGGGGAGAGCGCGGCGGCGGGGCCGGCAGAAAGTTGAGGATCGGGGTGCCGGATTGACGCCGTGGATCCGGAGCGCGGCCGCGGGGGCTTAAAAGGATATTTGACTGCTTTTCTCTTCTTCCTCCACCCCAACCTCCCCTTTTCTTTCCTCCTTCTCTCTTGGGCGCGTTTGTTGTTATGCAGGCTCCTTGCAATCTAATATTGGGGGGGGGGGTTGAAAAAGAAGTCCCGGATGCCCTTTCATCTTGAGTAATTTTCCCCATTTCAAAATACACATTTTCATTCTTTTCTCTCTTTCCCTGCCAAAAAAGCAAGGCCTTTTTCTGCGGGTCCCAACTCACACATAAACACCAGCTTTAGGCCAGTAATTTGGTGAGTGTCTGCAAAGATAGTAACATAGCTTTGACACCAGCAGACTGCAAACTTCCAGAGTAATCTTAAAAATCTTGAACCAGAGCACTGGTATGTCTCTGCTTGTTTGGCCTCTTGCTTTTAACTGAGCACAGATCCTCATTTTATTTTTAAGCATGCAAATATGGCCATAATCTGCTGGGGACTGCTCAGTGTAGGTAATCTATAATAACATTCACAGATTCACTTCAGTTCCTTGTGTGCAGAGTTAAACCTCTTATTGTCAGTTAGCCCAGCATCCTAGTTCATTATCAGGGATTTGAAGCACCTTTTTTGGTTACACTAGGAGCTGTTACTGCTGCCGTGTATATTTTTGGCCTCATCTGAATGTTTAAATTTCTGCAGTACAAAAGCATGCTCTAGATGCTTGTGAACTCCAGATTAATATGAACAATTAACTGGTTTTAAGCATAAAGCGATTCAAGGGCTTCATTACATTGCTGAGAAACTCGGGCTTCTACACACAAGTGATGTTTTTTCTTTCCAACCATTTACTGATGCTTCTATATCCGGTTTATGGAGTTTTATTTTGATTCTAGCTCCGCTATGTTAGGAACATTTTGTTGGCTTCCACCTCTGCTTGAACTGGATTTATTTTACTTCTGTCTCCTTTTCTCATCTCCTCTTACCTCGAGTGCTGGGGATCACCTGTTCTAGTCCTTTCTAAACTCCCTACTTGTAGCGTATCATCTTGTCTTGCTATCGCTCCCTGCTGCTCTCTCCTCGGGTCTCTGAATCCTCCAGTGGAGCTGTCCTGCAGCTCAGAGCTTAACCGGACAGCAATGAGGAGTAAATGTGAGGGGGGGGGGGGGGGGGAGAAGAAACGGGAGAAAAAAGACTGTTTCAAAGCTGTTGAAGATCTTGAGGTGAAATGCAGGAATTTTGTCTGTTCGTTATGCTGCTCTTTGTGAAAATCTTGGGTAGGTGAAGAAGTTTGTGTTATCTACAGACTCAAGGAAATCACTACCTTATTAAAGTTCTTAGCAACCCTATGTGCTAAAACCTAAAACAAACACCACCACCACCCCCTGCCACCCCCATTTATACACACCCTGTTCCACTTCCCTAAAGCCATTTAAACTGCTAGCTCCTGGAGAAGTTTTCTCCTCTGTCCCTTTCGTATCTCTTCCTCATACTTAAATTTGATATATGTTTTGTTTCTCCAAAAGATTTCCCTTGTGAAAGCCCCTCTCTGTGTGTTTTGACGAAAGATACTGTGAACTCTAGTAAACACAGAGTTGACTGGGATTTTTTTTTGGAGGTGAAGTACAAAACCATTTCTTAAAAAAATAAAGTCCAAAGTGTAACAATGCTTTGTGACTTTTATCTGGATGGCACTATGTCATAAATAGTTTCCACCTCAAATTGATCAGTTTTATGAGGTCTAGGGACCTGCCCTGTTCCTAGTATGAATGCTGCATAAATTGTTGGGTCGTGTAAATGTGTTGTTACCTTTTTGATACGATTTTAATAGAAACGTAAAAGGTTTACTGCACAAGCCCAGGACGTTCAGCTGAAATTATGCTGTGGTCATCACCTTGTGCCCCAGACACATCCCTCTTGTCTTTTCAAACAGTTTTGGCATTGTTCCTTGAGAGTTGGAATTTGACCTGTCAAATGATGTAATGTTCTGGTTCACCTTGGCCCTTCGTAGAAGTCTTTAAGAATTTGTTACTGTCATAAATACAGATAGATAAATATGGGGAAGCAGAGTATGAAAACCCCTTCTGTTACTTCAGAAATACCTATTCATTTTGAATTCTGTAAGTAAATCTGATGTGTGTGGGATTGTTAGCATCATTCCCTGAGAAGTAATTCTAGTATCAGACAGTGTGGTAGTCAGAAAAAAATAAAGCTTGTGGTTTGAACTAGAGCATTTAGCAATAAAAATGGCTTAAGTAATTCACTTCACTTTCCTCTCTTGCTTCTGCAATAGGCTGCTCTTTTGGACTGTGGCTTCATGACAGTTTGTGCTGTCAAGGGGAGCAAGAACATAAGAGGGCTGAAGGACCACCTTTGCGCACAGGGAGACAATCCAGGGGAGCTGTGCTGGCAAAACCCCATCATTTCTTGGAGGAATTGGAATAATTTTTTGCTAGTATAGCTCCCTTAGCTGTCTGGCTGTTGGGTCAGGCAAATACCAATGCTAGCACAAGGAAGAGGGTGAGGATGCATAGCTGGTGGAAAGAAAAAGAGCAAAGATACAGATCATCTTGAACCGTCACAGAGTTGCAGCTTTGGTTGTGTCAGTGCAGCTTTTTGTGGGAGGTAGCTCAGGGAACCGATTTGGCTTAAACCTTCCTTCCTTGTCGTGCATTTCAAGCCCATTTTTGGGGGGAGGAGGAAAGCGTTGTGGCTTGTGGAGGACAAGTGAGCAGTTCTGTTGAAGCTGGGATGCAATTGAGGGAGCAGTATGCTGTGCCCCAAGCTGGAGGGAAGTGTGGGGAAGGGGATTCTGAGCTCTCTTTGCAATGAGATGCATCGAGCTGTCAAACCACAGCATAGGAGGATAGCCAGGAGTGGTACACAGGGTCTTGATGCCCTGGTAGAACTTTGATTTTAGAGACACGATATGCCACGTGATAACTGTTGGATGCTGACATATGTGTTCTCTGTATCAGTCTTGAGTGTTAGCGTCTTTCTCAGTGGCCAAAAGCAGATGCCTGGAGATAAATGTATGTGACAGTTTTATTTTTTTATAATTCCCCTCCTCCCAGCCTCCAGTCACCTGCTGTTCAGGCACTTGCTGAATTGGATATGGATGGTGAGATCAGGTCAGCTAAGAAATGGGGAGTTTGAGGGAGAAGACATCCCTAAAACCCTGCTGACACCTTCTCTACAGGCAGTTACAGCATTGCAATGCTGTGTGGTTACTGGAGTGGTAGATTGAGGTGGTCACGCGTGTTTCTACTCGCTGGTGATGCTTGGCCCTTTGTTAAATATTAGCCATGCTCTTGGAGACTCCCTGACTGAATTACAGCCTGGGTTGGGGAGCTGGGGGCAGGGAAGGAATGTATTAGTTCTCTTCAGCAGTGATCCTGGTTTCGGAACCAAGGTGATGATTTAAAGGGAAATTCCTCTGACATTCACATAGGATTTCCAATCATCTTGAGCTCTGGTGTTTCACTGAGATGCTGCTTAACTGTTGATTTTGCTTTTAAACTGTCAAAATAAGGAGCAATTTCCTTTTTTTTTTTTTTTTTTTTTTGTTAAATGATTGTTGCTGGGGAAATACTGCAACCTGAGTGCCTGATCTGTTTCTGTGTATTCATTTGTTGAATAGTGGTGATCTTCCATGCCCTTGGATACTTGGGACTGAAATGTGGCTCCTGGGGAAGAAACGTGATACATCAGGAAGTATTAGAAATTAATATTAATCAGAAGAAGGTGTCTAACAGTTGAATAATTCTGAAATCTTTATTATATTTTCTTATCTTAATTATTGCTTGGGTATAGTTCCAGCCTGTATATGGTATGAATTAGCTGCTGCTTCCAAACAGCATTGTTATCTCCGTGGTTTGGAAGTAGGTTTGTCTCCAAGTGTTTAACAGTTTAACGTTCAAAGGGCAGATTGTATTTCTTTGTTGCAAAATGAAAAAGCTTGTAGCCCTGATGTTGATACAAAATAATAATAAAAAGCAAGTTTAAGTGCTAAAGTAAAAGTTTAAATGTAGGGCTATTCTAAACCGGTATCTGTTTTACATACGCCTCCAGCCATGTTCCCAGCATATGTGCCAGTGGTACTATTTGCCTTATTTCAACTAGCATTTAATGTAGCTGCAGCTTGCAGCTTTTCTTTTTAGTTAGTATAAGCCCATTGTACGGCAACTTTACACTATAGTAGCTGGAGGCTTGTTCAAGAATATCTATCTACAAACAAACACTTTTGCCTGTTGGCAGGATAAATATAGGGAGGGAGAATTACTCTTTTATGGCACAGTTGTGCTAGGGAAAGAAAAATCGTCAGCTGTCATTTAAAAATGAAAATCTTTAGTTGTAAGGAATGAAATTTACAGCTTGATGCTTAACTTCACTTTAAGATGTGCATGGAAGGA